TAATTTTTATCAATTATTCATATTTTTGTTGTAATAATAATAATAATAATAATAAAACAACAACATATATAATAATAAACAACAATGATAATAATAATTAACTTTATTATCATCATCATATTATTATTATTATTATTATTGTAGTAATAATAATAATTAACAACAACAGCAATATTAATAGTAATAATAAAAATCAACAGCTATTATAATTATTTAGATTTTTAGTTTATTAATATTATCATCATTTTGCTTTTTTGTAATAATAATAATAAACAACAATGATAATAGTAATTATTATTATTATTATTATTATTATTATCATCATCATCATCATCATCATCATTTAGCTTTTTACTGTAACATGCCTTCCTAATTATTAATAAAATATTGCCATTCATTTTTTACAATATTATTATTGTATTAATAATAATAATAATTTACAACAATTATAATAATAATAATTATTATTACTATTGTTATAATCATCATGTTGCTTTTTACTAAAATATTCCTCCCTAATTATAAACAAAGCATTGCCGTTCATTTTTTACTATTATTATTATTATCGTAGAAATATTATAGAGTAAAATAAATAATAGAGAATTAAAAAGGTGCAAAAAATCATTTATAAATATTCAGAATTAAACAGATTTTAACATTTGTACCCAAAACCAAACCCAACAAATCCTGAGAAGCTTGTGAGAATCCAGAGCAAACATTTTCTGGTGGTCTTTAATTTGATTTTCATAGCTCGTGTTCTAATCTACGTCATGTTTTTCTTCTGTTGGAGCAGTGTTTTAAATATCACGCCGTGCCTTATGATAACCAATGCAGAATTATGAGAATGTCAAATAATGCATGAAAGGATAAAACAAGTCACATTTCCTCAGACTTTAAAGGGAAAAACACAAGACATCGAAGAGCAAAGTGTTTTATGCAAATGCTGTTGACACTTGTTGGATATTAAAGTGAAGGCAGCTTTGTTTTATCATGTCTGTGGTGTGACTGAACCTAATATGCAACTAAAAGTCAAAACACTGTGGCTAGAGAAGCACTCTTCAAGCATCAGCATCAGCCAATGAAGTGAGAGGGGGCGGGGCTGTGTGTTTAGCTGACCAATGAGAGATTTAGGGAACCTTTGATTTACCATCTCCTGATTGGAGGAAAGTTCTTACCCCAGGTGGAGGAGTTCAAGTATCTTGAGGTTTTGTTCACGAGTGAGGGAAGGATGGAGCGTGAGATTGACAGGCGGATTGGTGCAGCAGTAGTGCGGTTGATGTACCGGTCCATTGTGGTAGAGAAGGAGCTGAGCTGAAAGGCAAAGCTCTCGATTTACCGGTCAATCTACATTCCTACTCTCACCTATGGTCATGAGCTTTGGGTCATGACTGAAAGGACAAGATCTCGGATACAAGCAGCCGAAATGAGTTTCCTTAGCAGTGTGGCAGGGCGCACTCTTATGGATAGGGTGAGGAGCTCTGACACCCGGGAGGAGCTCAGAGTAGAGACGCTGCTCCTCCACATCCAGAGAAGTCAGCTGAGGTGGCTCGGCATCTGTTTCGGATGCCTCCTGGACGCCTACCTAGGGAGGTGTTCCAAGCATGTCCCACCAGGAGGAGGCCTCGGTAAAGACCCAGGACACGCTGAAGGGACTATGTCTCTCGGCTGGCCTGGGAATGCCTAGGGATCCCCCCCGGAGGAGCTGAGGGAAGTGTCTGGGGAGAGGGAAGTCTGGAGTTCTCTCCTAAGACTGCTGCCCCTGCGACTCGACCCCGCATAAAAATGACATCACGTAAAAGCTGTGTAATCATATGCATATATCAGGTGTAATCTTCAGGTGTGATTTCCACATGAGGGTGACCGTTAAACTCCTCCGCTTCCTCTGCTGTTTGTTGGTGATTTAGTGCTTCATGCTGGTTGGATTCGCACTGCTTCATATATTACTGCATGATGGTACTCCTGAAATGGGTGTGCTAGTTTGTTTTGAATGGTGACTTAAATATAGAGACACTACCTGACTAAAGTCTTGTCACCTGTTCAAGTTTTAGGAGCAACAAATAATAACTGGACTTCTAGTTGATTATTTGGTATCAGAAGTGGCTCATATGAAAGGTAAAGGCCTCTAGATTTTGCTTATTTGAGCACAATATGATCATGTCTTGATTATTAATGATTTCATTTGGACAGTAAGCTCTGAATTTGCTTAGACAAAGGTCTTGTCACAGAACCGAAATAATCCTTCATCTTACCCCAGACGTGCTCAATAATGTTCATATCTGGTGACTGGTCTGGCCAATCCTGGAGCAGCTTCACATTCTTTGCTTTCAGGATCTTTGATGTGGATCAAAGCGTCTAAAATGAAAGCACTCTTGAAAGTTCCACAAAAATAGTTTATTTCCATATAAATAACAGCAGATACACGGCATTTATAATAAATTAGACAATAATAAAACAAAAAAGGCAAATATCGCTCTGTAGCTGGACAATGTACTGCGACTATTTGTGCTGCCGAGAGTTTAAGAACCAAAATCCCAAATCTAGACTGACGAAATAAAACCTGCTGAATACAAAACATGAGAGTTGATATATGAGTGGTGCTAAAAAACAGTGATCGTATCTGAACTATCGCCGACACTGTATCCAGTGATAATCTCCAGGAATGTCATCAATATCAATACAATAAATAGTGAAAGGTTGTGTTTGGGTGAGAGCGAGAGTGATATTAAGCTCTCGGCGTCAAGTGCAGTTTAGCTGCCGAACAGGATTACAACAAATCCAACAGTTTCAATGCAAAATATAAACTTTCTGGCAAATTCTGATGGTATTTTTACTATCAGAATTCAGTTTACATTGCAAAACTTTAAAAAACAAAGCAAATTATAAACTTTCTGGCAAATTCTGACAATTTTTTCCCCCTCAGAATTCAGTTTACATTGGAAATCTTAAAAAAACAAAGCAAATTATAAACTTTCTGGCAAATTCTGATTGTATTTTTACTATCAGAATTCAGTGTTTACATTGCAAAACTTTAAATAACAAAGCAAAATATAAAGTTTCTGGCAAATTCTCAGTTTTTTCCCCTCAGAATTCAGTTTACATTGCAATACCTAAAAAAACAAAGCAAAATATAAAGTTTCTAGCATATTCTCAGACTTTTTCCCCCTCAAAATTCAGTTTACGCCGCAAAACTTAAAAAAAAAAAAAAAAAGGACAAAGAAAACCATCATTTATCTGGTTAATTCTGACTTTTTTCCCCTCAGAATTCAGTGTTTATATTGCAAAACATAAACTGTATGGCATATTTGACTTTCCTGTCCTCTTGCTTTAAGCTCTCTAAATATTGCATATTTTATTATTGATTGCGAGTTTATAACTCTCACAGGTCTTGGCTTGATTTCTCTTAATCCTGAGTTCATCCTGACTTTGTTTTTCTTCTCAGTTCTGATATAAATTCTGAAAGAAATCCTACTTTCACACTTTACAACAAGACTCCATTAGTTCATGTATTCACTAATAATAAACAATACTTGTACAGCATTTATTAATCATAGTTCGACGTTTACTAATGCATTATTAACATCCAAACTCATGCTTGTCAACGTTAACATGAACAACTGTATTTCCCTGAACGGGGACCCTATTATGCCCCTTTTTAAAAGATGTAATGCAAGTCCCTAGAGTGTGTGTGAAGTTTCAGCTTGAAATACTCACAGATAATGTTGGATAACTCTCTGAAACTAGCCCATTAAGGCTTTAATCGTAATTGTGCTGTTTTGGTGACTGTCGCTTTAAATTCAAATGAGATTGTGCTCTTTTTAAAAGAGGGCGGAGCTATGAATGCCTGTGTGTCAGCATAGTGGCAGATTCAAAAATGAGACTAACCTCCTATGCTAATGAGGGAGAGGCGGTCACTAGTGGGCGGGGCTTATTTCCTCTGATGACACATACAAAGGGAGAATGCCAATCAGCAGACTGTTTTAATCAAAGTCTGATTATAAAAATATAGATATTAATACATGTTTATCATTAAAGGCTGTTATATTCACAGATTGTTTCCACACAACTGTGTTTAAACGTCTTATAAAAGTGACGTTTGCATAATAGCTCCCTTTAATGTCGTCAATGATGAATAAATACTGTATTGAAAGTATTGTTGTGTATTAGTAAATACATGAACAAACACTCTAATGGCTAATGGACAGACGGCTGCTTCTCACTCAGGGCTGCTGTTTATGCTAATGAGGGAGAGGTGGTCACTAGTGGGCGGGGCTTTCCCCCTTCTGATGACACATACAAAGGGAGAATGTCAATCAGAGTGTTTCTGCAGACTGTTTATATCAAGTCTGATCATAAAAAACATTGAATTAATACATGTTTATCATTAAAGGCTGTTATATTCACAGATTGTTTCCACACAACTGTGTTTAAACGTCTTATAAAAGTGACGTTTGCATAATAACTCCCTTTAAATGTTATTGATTATGAATAAACACTGTAATAAATGTTTTGTTCTTGTTCGTAAATGCATAAACTAATGCAGCCGTATAGTAAAGTGTAAAAACCCAGAGAATTTCAAGCCAGCAGGTTGATCTGCTGAGCACAAACAGCTGAGGTCACAATTATTCGCCCTCCTGTGAATTCTTTTAATTATTTCGCAAAAGCAAGTATTTCCTATAATGTTTTATCTTCTGGAGAAAGTCTTATTTGATTTATTTGGGCTAGAATAAAGGCAGTTTTAATTTTTTAAACACCATTTTAAGGTCAATATTATTCGCCCCTTTAAGCTATATTACTTTTGGATTGTCTTCAGAATAAACCACTGTTATACAATGACTTGCCTAATTACCCTAACTTTACCCTAATTACCCTAGTGAAGCCTTTAAATGTCACTTTAAGCTGTATAGAAGTGTCTTGAAGAATATCTAGTCTAATATTATGAGCTGTCATTATGGCAAAGATAAAAAAAAATCAGTTATTAGAGATGAGTTGTTAACACTATTATGATTAGAAATGTGTTCTCTTCATTAAACAGAAATTTGGGGGGGAAAAAAATCCAGAAGGGGGGCGAATAATTCTGCCTTGAACTGTAAGTGCTGTTCCTCTAGCTCTTGGCCTCCAGCATCTCCAGGAAGAGTTTGTGCATGGGCACGTGTCCGTCAGTGTGCAGGCGTCTGAAGCAGCGGACGCTTCTGTTAGCCGTCTGCCGGAGCAGCGGCAGCGTCATCAGCATCCGGCCGGCGCGGTGGGCTTCAGACGGATGTTGACTGATCTCGAACTCCTGCAGGGCTTCATGCAGAGCGTCCTGGAAACACTGCACCGCTTCTGCTCCCTCCACATTCTCTGCATCTGCAAGCAAACATCTGTAAGGTCAGATCAGCCTAAAGGAGGCCTATCATGCATCTTTTATAATGTATAAAACGAGCCTCTGATGCCTCTAGAGCAGGGATTCTCAACCAGTGCGCCTCAGCGATCCTGCAGGGGGGCCATGAGAGAGCTTAAAATGAACTCTTAAAATCATAATATATAATATTTTTGGATTTGGTTATTAATAAGCTCTATTAAAACGATGGAAGTAATGCACTTTCCCCGGTTCTCTGATTGATTACTTCAGACTCGGTGCAGAAACAGCCTCATGATGGCGTCTGCAGCTGCACGTCAGTCTGTTCATTCACATGTATTTTTGTGTGGACTGTTTAATACAGTGGTTCTCAAACTTTTTTCACCAAGTACCACCTCAGAAAGATATTGCCGGAGTGAAAAAGGTTGAGAACCCCTGCTCTAGAGTGTGTGTGTGTGTGTGTGTGTGTGTGTGTGTGTGTGTGGGGTTTCAGCTCAAAATATAACCCTGCTAATGACTCTTTTAGGGCCTACTCACACTATGCCATCCGTACCATGCCCAGGCCCGTTTCCCGGATCGTTTGAGAAGTGTGAGTGCTCTGAACCGGGCTCAGGCATGGTTCACTTTGCCGCCCCTGGCCCTATATGACTAGAGAAATCTCCACTGTGCTGCTGAGTGTGAGAGCACTTCCCACTGAACAGCGCAGCAGCGATGACGTAAGCGTGCCGAGGCCCGTTTGTGGTGTGAGTGCGGGCTGTCGGGGGAGACAGGAGGGGGGACAAGTGTGCTTTGGACTGGTTTGAGGCAACTGTACCTACCGTGAGTACGGCCTTAGTCTTTAATCCTAATTGTGGTGTTTCGGTGACTGTCGCTTTAAATTCAAATGAGATAGTGCTCTTTTCAAAAGAGGGCGGAGCTATGAATGCCAATGAGTCAGCATAGTTTCAAAAACAAATCACGGGGAGAACATGCAAACTCCACACAGAAATGCCAACTGACCAAGCTGGAGCTCGCACCAGTGACCTTCTTGCTTGTAAGACGACAGTGCTAACCACTGAGCCACTGTGTCACCCCCTAATACAGTTTTAGCAGAAATAAAACCTTAATATGACCTATATCTGGAATATAACTGCCATGAAAATTCCTACAGAAGCTGTTAAACGCAAACAAACTTACTCTCAACACCTTTATGAGTTTCTTTCTTTTGAACGCCAAAGAAGATAGTTTGAAGAATGCTGAAAACCTGTAACCACTGACTTTCATAGTAGGGAAAGCAAATACAATGGAAGCCAATGGTTACCAGCTTTCTGCAAAACACATCTGTTTGTGTTCTGACATTTGGATCAAGTGAAGTGATTAAATTGTCATTTTTGGGTGAACTACCCCTTTAAACACTCAGCTATGTTCACTTTAACCCATTGTTGCTGTCTAATGGAGTAAAGAAGCGTAAAAAACAATGACGTAAGCGTGCCGAGGCCCGTTTGTGGTGTGAGTGCGGGCCGTTGGGGGAGACAGGAGGGGGGACAAGTGTGCTTTGGCCCGGTTCGAGGCAACTGTACCTACTGTGAGTACGGCCTTGATCTTTGATCCTAATTTTGGTGTTTCGGTGACTGTCGCTTTAAATTCAAATGAGATTGTGCTCTTTTCAAAAGAGGGCGGAGCTATGAATGCCAATGAGTCAGCATAGTTTCAAAAACAAGGGGAGAACATGCAAACTCCACACAGAAATGCCAACTGACCCAGCTGGAGCTCGCACCAGTGACCTTCTTGCTTGTAAGACGACAGTGCTAACCACTGAGCCACTGTGTCACCCCCTAATACAGTTTTAGCAGAAATAAAACCTTAATATGACCTATATCTGGAATATAACTGCCATGAAAATTCCTACAGAAGCTGTTAAACACAAACAAACTTACTCTCAACACCAAAGAGTTTCTTTCTTTTGAACGCCAAAGAAGATAGTTTGAAGAATGCTGAAAACCTGTAACCACTGACTTTCATAGTAGGGAAAGCAAATACAATGGAAGCCAATGGTTACCAGCTTTCTGCAAAACACATCTGTTTGTGTTCTGACATTTGGATCAAGTGAAGTGATTAAATTGTCATTTTTGGGTGAACTACCCCTTTAAACACTCAGCTATGTTCACTTTAACCCATTGTTGCTGTCTAATGGAGTAAAGAAGCGTAAAAAACAATGGCTTCTCGGTGCTGTCTGACTCTGAAGCGCCCTGCGGTCAGATGCATGCTGGGAGACGGAGCTAATGGTTTGGCGGATGGATTTATTGATCTGTGCTCTGCGCTGCTCTCTCCTTATTGATTGCTTTTGTTTTGTTCTTGGCCAGTGAGACAGAGACTGAACATGAGGACTACAATGAAGTCAAGTTCACTTCCTTTACACTGCACAGACATCGTTTACTGCGGTTGAAGGCAGAATTATGAACCCTCCTGTATATTTTCCTCTAACTTCTGTTTAGTTGAGGGCATAATATCTTCCCCAATTTCTGTTTAACGGAGAGGAGAAATAAACAGGAGTGCTAATAATTCTGCCTTCACCTGTGTGTGCTTTATTAGTAAATGAACGCGAGTGTACCAGAGTTTGCGAGAGCCATGGCTTTGAGGATGATGAACTCCTCCTGCTTGAGGCTCATCTGCTGGTATCTGCAGGTCAGGTGTCTGAGAGCCGTGTAGAGATCGTGAAGGCCAGCCGCTTGACTCTGACTCTCGTTCAGACGCAGATTCTCCGCAAACTGAAGCTCTTCTGCTAAGGCCTGAGACCTCCAGGCCACGTTCAGCAGCAGAGTCTCCATCCAGCCGCTCTGAAGGAGAGCCATCTGATCCAGCAGAGACAGCGCGCAGAAACCTGACGGGAGAAACAGTTCGCTTGCTTTCAGTCGGTGTCTGAGAGAGAGTGTATGGGGGTTTCCTAATACTGGGTTGCAGCTAGAAGGGCATCAGCTGAGTAAAACATGTGCTGGATAAGTTGGTGGTTCATTCCGCTGTGGCGACCCCTGATGGTTTTCTCAGCTCTGTCAGTGGGTGTGTATCTGTACTGTACCTGGTATGTGTTTTGCCCATCCGATCATCACCAGCAGCTCTCGGTTCAGAAGGTCACATAAGGTCATGAGGGTCTTAAGGTCACTGTCTGGGGTCGAGGAGTCAGGAGCCGCTCGCAGAGGAGTCACTTCACATAGCAGCAGCTCACAGATCAGCCTGTTCCCTGAAAAACACGAACACTGAATCACACTCAGTCTTCCGTTCAATCGTTTAGGGATAATGTAGATCCAGGAGGTTCGGGCACACCTCTTCCAACTGGACCAGGGCTGGCTAACTGAACCGTGCCTGAGCCCGATTGAGAGCATTCACACTTCTCAAATGATCCGGGAAAAAGACCTGGGATTCGGATAGCATAGTGTGGGTACGCCCTAAGACTGAAGGGTTTATTCTGTGAAAACAACCTCCTGGATGTACTTTATCCCACTTATTATAAAACTACTTGCCACAGAGCAAACAAATTAGCCATAAACTTTACTCTGAGTCGTAACAGTTTATTAATTCTTTATATAAACACAAAGCTGGCAGAAACAAAACCTGCTGAATGGAGTATACACTAACCTATGTATTATTTAGACATTAAATGGTGCTAACCAGTCAAAATGGCAGGCTACCGGAAAAACGAGAACTCGTTGAATGGAGTGTACTCTAACCTGCGCATTATTCAGACACTAAATCCTGCTAAACAGTCAAAAATGCAAAGCTGACGATAAATGAAACTGAGTGAATGGAGTATACACTAACCTGCGCATTATTCAGACACAAGATGACGCCAAACAGTCAAAAACACAAAGCTAATTAAAAAACGAAATCGGTTGAATGGAGTATACACTAACCTGCGCATTATTCAGACACTAAATCCTGCTAAACAGTCAAAAATGCTAAGCTGACGATAAATGAAACTGAGTATATGGAGTATACACTAACCTGCACATTATTCAGACACAAGGTGGCGCCAAATAGTCAAAAACACAAAGCTAACAGAAACTAAAGCAGCTGATGGAGTATACACTAACCTGCACATTATTCAGACACAAGATGGCGCCAAACAGTCAAAAACACAAAGCTAAAATGATGTTTGCATGTTCAACCGGGTTATAAGTGTGTGTGTGTGTGTGTGTGTGTGTGTGTGTGTGTGTGTGTGTGTGTGTGTGCACTGAGAGACTCACGGATGGGCTTGTTTGCGTGTGTGTATGCTGTTTTGCTGAACACAGACAGTGTTGAATCCACTCTCCGCTTGTATTTCTGTCGGCCCCCTCGCACCCGGTCCATGCGAACTCCTGAACACACACACACACACATTACATCACTACATAAATATAAAATGCTTTACATTTTTTATACTCACAATATATTTTAAATCCTTTTTATTAAATTCAATTTTAATTCATATTGTGAATCAATGAAATATTTATTTCTTTTTAAAGTAAAAGTTAATTGGAAATAATAAAAAATTCATCTGAACAGAATATTATTATTAATATTTTTACATGCTGTATAGCACAATTTATGCGATTTAGCACGAATTAATTATTATATTTTATTAGTAATTAGATTTGATACATATTCAGAGATTATTACAACAATACATTATGTCATAAGCTTATAAGAATACAATATATAGGAATAATATATACAGGATATGAATAATTTCTGGATTAGATAGAGGTTTTTGCATCTAAACTCTTAATTTGTTAAATGTTGCCAACATTAATTAATAAAAATAAAATGTTTCATTAATATTTTTAAATTTTTAAAGCTAAATAATTAATAATACAATCTATATGATTGTATTATTAATTATTTAGCTTTAAAAAATATTAAAATAATTAAAATACTTTCCAAAAGTTTTAGTTACTAATGTTAACTTAAGTGTACATTTTTAAACTCAAATTTTATAATAAAATGATTTAAAGGGGCAGGTTTACATCAACCACCAATGAACCATTGTATTGTTATTAATTAATCTTGGCAACATTTAACTAATTAAGAGTTTAGAAGCAAAAACCTCTAAGAGCCGTGTAATATTTTCTTCTAAAATTAGCATTTTTCTCCGACTTCTGTGTGTAGGCTCAGTAATTTTACTTTTATGGTGACGAATAAGTTATTTACATTAGGTTTAAAGTGAAATAAGTAAACATAGAGATTGTAGGCTGACAAACATAGTCATTTTAGGAGAACATTTCAGATGGCATTTACAGGTTTTTGCATCTGAACTCTTCGAATACTCTAAAGCTTAAATACTGTATATCTTTATATATATATATATATATATATATATATATATATATAATGTGCAGATCTGACTGAAAGTATTTTGTGCAGCTAATATCGTGACTATTATATAAAAATAAAAAGCATCTTCACTAGCGGTGTCTTTTGTTTTAATCTCACTGCTGGCATGTTTTTTATCTAGTCATGCAGCACAAATAAGTCAGCCAATCAGAGGTCAGGTAATGCTGTTAATGTTGTGTTTTTCTGACCCTCTCTCATCATGCCGGCCCGCAGACACTTCTGAAATCGACAGGCCTGACAGGACTTTCTCCTCCTCTTGGTGATTTCACAGTCATTGACCACAGGACAGCTGTACTCGATGTTCCCTGAAAACACAACAGCACACACACACATCAGTTACACTGCTATTACAGACGAACACATTCACATTTAACCATCAGCAGATGGTTTTATCTAAAGCAACTCACAAAAATTAGGCAGATAGAAGTAAAGAACACATGAAAAGAACTAAATATGTAAATAATAGAACCGGCCACTTTATTAGGCACACCTTACTAGAAGTAGTTGGACCCCTTTTGCCTTCAGAACTGCCTTAATCCTTCATGGTGTAGATTCAACAAGCTACTGGAAATATTCCTCAGAGATTTTGCTCCATATTGTCATGATAGCATCACACAGTTGCTGCAGATTTGTCGGCTGCACATCCATGATGCCAATCTCCCGTTCCACCACATCCCAAAGCTGCTCTATTGGATTGAGTTCTGGTGACTGTGGAGGCCATTTGAGTACAGTGAACTCATTGTCATGTTCAAGAAACCAGTCTGAGATGATTGAGCTTTATGACATGCTGTGTTATCCTGCTGGAAGTAGCCATCAGAAGATGGAGACACTGTGCTCATAAAGGGATGGACATGATCAGCAGCAATACTCAGGTAGGCTGTGGCGTTGATGCTCAATTGGTACTAATGGACCCAAAGTGTGCCAAGAAAACATGCCTCACACCATTACACCATCACCAGCAGCCTGAACCGCTGATACAAGGCAGGATGGATCCATGCTTTCATGTTGTTGAGGCCAAATTCTGAGCATGCCTAAATCAGCTGGACTTGTGTACCTAATAAAGTGGCCAGTATATATACAGGGTGGGCCATTTATATGGATACACCTTAAAGAAATGGGAATAGTTGGTGGTATTAAAGTCCTGTGTGTGGCACATTAGTATATGTGAGGGGGCTTGTAAATAACTCATGAAAGGATAAAGTTAAATTTAAAACAAAGCACTCCATTGTTTTCTTGGGAAATTCCCAATAAGTTTATTAGGATGTATCCATATAAATGGCCCACAATGTGTGTATGTATGTATATATATATATGTATATATATATATATATATATATATATATATATATATATATATACTGTACATATACACATTTTTTTTATAAATCTTATAACACAAAGACATTTAAACTATACTTGTGAGTTGACATTTTATTAAAAATTAATTTTACCTATAAGCGTTTCCAAACTAGTATGCATTTATATTGTTTCTTTGTTAAACACCAAAGATGTTTAGAAAAATGTTGGAAACCAGCAGCCACTGACAACAATAGTGAAAAACAGCTACTGGAACATTCTTCAAAATATCTTCTTTTTTTGTTCAACAGAAGACAGAAACTCAAACAGGTTTCAGACGTTGTCATTGTTTGGATGAGTGATCAAACGATGTAAAGGATATTATTAATAACCCATCATAATCTTCCTCTCTGGTCAGCGAGTTCCAGCCAGCGCCACATTTGTTTAATCAAACATAAAGTCCAATATTTCCCCGCTCCACAAGCTGAGCTTTCACACAGAAATCCATAGGCGTGCAGACAGAGCCGGCTTATTGATTGACTGTAATAATGACGGCGGCGAGAGGAAGAAAGTTTGGCTTCTCCCAGAGGCGACTCTATTGACGATCTGCAGCACACATTACAGCCAATCCTGCACGCTTTTTCCATTTCCACTCTGATCAATACATCTCTCTAAAACACCACGCTTGACAAGACTCTGAGGGACCATTGTGGGATTCAACTCTTTATCCCTATATTGATATGTTGTTAACACTCACACACACACACACACACACACACACACACACACACACACACACACACACACACACACACACGTGTCTACCCAAGACAAAAACTGAATTATTTTACTGAGTATAGTATAATTATACTATATAAAGTATATTATCTATATTTAGTGTAGTAGAATTAAGTATTACATGTGTATTGTCTGAAGCTAGATAATAGGTGTAAACATTTTCATTAGGCCGTAATTAGCTTTCGCAATACATCACAAAAATACATCACAAAAATTGAGTAGCTTGTGTGATATTGTTATAAATATTTATTTAATAATCTAATATGTATTTAATATTTTTATATGTACAAGTTGTGTAGCTTATGTGATATTATTATAATTTTTATGTAATCATAATAATATATGTAAAAACTTGTGTAGCTTACAGTATGTGATATTATTAGATTTATTTATTTAATACTTTATTATTAATTTAATATTATTATATGTAAAAATGTGTAGCTTTTGTAAAATTATTTATAATTATTTAATTTATATTTAATATTATTATTTGTAAAAATGTGAAGCTTATGTAAAATTGTTATAATTATTTAATTTATATTGATTTAATATTATTATATGTAAAAATGTGTGTAGCTTATGTAATGTTATGTAACATTTAATTTAATAATTTAATATTTAGTATTATTTGTTTAACATTATTCTATGCAAAAGTGTGTAATACATTTATGAGTGCTCATTTTTTAATATATCCTGCATACAATAATATTTATAAATTACATTTTATTATGAAAATATAAATTTGCATGATCTACAAATTTTGATCAGCACAAAAAAAATAAAAGCAAATTATTTTATATTATCAGTGCCATTTGTGTATTCTTTAAGTAAAAACACATTTATTTTATTATTTTTTTATATCAATATCTCCTAAAATAAAAAAACATTATAAATATAATAATTTAAAATTATATATTATAATAATACAAATATTTCCCCCTACATACTTTCCATGCAAAGTTAGTCTTCATTGACAACATTGAAAGCTCAGATCCTTGCATTTTAACCTGGAGTTATGCCAGCATTATCCTAAACATCTGAACCCAAGACTAAACAAATGTATTGACGGATTCCTCTGAGGTGTTTTGACTGAAGCTGCACACTGAGTCTTCACACACTAATCAATGGCAGACAGCTAGTTAACTCGTGTATTATTGATTACTCGTTCATTAACAGCACTGCAGCTTTCAGATGAACCAGAAACCCCTCACAGACTCACATTATTAACATCAGCCTGCTTTACTGATACCATCATTCGATCATCAAGTCCATGCAGATTCATATAAGAGACTGACTCTGTTATTAATGTATTCAGGCTTCCCACTTTAAGCTAAATATGACATTGCTTGACTTACACTGACCTAAAGCTGAATTCCCATGACCTATAATGAACAATAAATGCAGCAGTTGTGCTTTGTATAATATTAAAATGGTTTTAAGTTGAATATCATTTTGCAGGACTTTAATTGCCTCTATTAAAACAACAATGAACAATATACCTCAGATTTAGGGGGAGTAAAATCGGAGATTGGTGTTGTACGCATGGCTGTGAAGTGCTTCCATGTTTGATAGCTTGATAGTAACTGTACAAATTAATTTTTTTCTGTCGCAATCTTCTGTATTATTATTCTAATTATTTATTCATTCATTCATTTTCTTGACGGCTTAGTCCCTTTATTAATCCAGGGTCGCCACAGCGGAATGAACCGCCAACTTCTCCAGCAAGTTTTTAAGCAGCGGATGCCCTTCCAGCCGCAACCCATCTCTGAGAAATAATTATTTATTTAATAACTTAATATTTATTTAACATTCATTCATTTTCCTTCAGCTTAATCCGTTTATTCATCAGGGGTAGCCACAGCGGAATGAACCGCCAACTTCTCCAGCAAGTTTTTACGCAGCGGATGCCCTTCCAGCCGCAACCCATCTCTGAGAAATAATTATTTATTTAATAACTTGATATTTATTTAACATTCATTAATTTACCTTCAGCTTAATCCGTTTATTCATCAGGGGTCGCCACAGCGGAATGAACCGCCAACTTATCCAGCATTTGTTTTACACAGCTGATGCCCTTCCAGCTGCAACCCAGTGCTGGGAGATTATTTAACATTATTATATGTGAAAATGTGTGTAGTTTATGTAATATTATTATAATTCCCATGACCTATAATTAACAAAAAAGCCAGCACCTGAGCTTTGTATAATATTAAATTGGTTTTAACTTGAATATAATTTTGCAATAGCTACTATAAGAACAACAATAGACAATTTACCTCAGTTTTCAGAGGGGAAATCTGAGATTCGCGGTGTATGTATGGCTGAAGTGCTTCCATGTTTGAACGTTGTTAACAGACAATAAATCAATTTAAATCAATTAATAACAAAAACTTTGATAGTCATCGGCTGCTATTATGCATTGCTTTGCCTATTTAGAAACAATAGGCCTATTTACTTCTCTGAAATTATATAATTAAGGAGAAAATTTACATGTGTGAAAACTAACTCAGTGGCTAATTTGTGGCTAACTCAGTGGCTAATTTGTGGCTAACTCAGTGGCTAATTTGTGGCTAACTCAGTGGCTAATTTGATTATTCGGTCTCACTTCAAAACAACATTAGCACTATATTTAATTGACTATTAAAGATTTTGTAGCTACTTTGATAGTCATTGACTGCTAATTATATAATAAAAATATATTGTATTATTGTGCGATATATATAACACCCCAATAGGCTATCAATATTGGGTCTAAAATATTGACTGTTAACAATCTTGTAGCTAAACATAGCAAACTTAGTCAATGGCTGCTGTATTTAGAGTTAGCTACAACACCTTTCTTAATTAACATCATTGTGCGAATATAAAACCCCCAATAATAATACATGAATGCTTTCTTAAATGTTTACCTTGAATGGTTCTTTTGAAGAAGGCTTTGCAGGCTTCGCAGGACGCCACTCCGTAGTGATACCCGGACGCGAAGTCTCCGCACACCAGACACAAGCGCTTGGGCCCCGGGTTCAGCGACGGGATGTAGTCGCTAATGAGCGCGTGCTCCGGGTGTCCCGCAGGGTGGAAGAGAACCGGAGCACTGCTGCTGGAGATGGAGCTGGAGCTCACAGGAGAGTCCGGATTTAGAGACGGGTTTCTGGAAAACACACTATAGCCGCTGCTGTCTGATGTGCTACCGGGGCTGAAGGGGGTCGCGCTGCTTTCCAGGCTGAAGGAAGGGCTCAGCGGGTCGGCTTTGAGCGGCGTGTCAGTCGGGGATGGAGGGTCGTCGGAGGTGGATGCATCTAGAAGACTGAGGTAAATTTGGTTATATATTAACACATTTGTTCATTTTTGAACAGTTTTTGTATAGTATATTAACAATAATTATATAGTTTACCACCTTACTTTCTGAAGTTGCATGTATTAGCACTAATTAACACAATGTTGTTACTCTGATGGTCATTTGATGCTAATGTGATTTTTCTGAAAGTATATTATTAGAGAAAGTCCAATTGTGCGAATGTAAAGCAAAATGTACCTCAATAAGACAGAGGTGGACATATTTAATGTGTTAGTTTTATTATACCCACATATAAGGAGCCAAAATTGGGTACAATTGTTTTGTCAGTCGCTAATTAGCTATATTTCAAACACATTCAGTTATGTGGCAAGCCTAACATACTTTGTGTAATCAATTAAAACTGCATTATTATTGACCTGCAAATCAACATATATTCATGAAATACAATTTACATTTTTTTTTACTAGTGTAACCACTGTAAGTTATGCCAAAACATGCATCAATGTATACAAAACATGCATATAGAGGTTTGTTTCACTAAAGTAGGCTAAAAAGTGTGATAATTGATTGTTTTTGGCATTAATGTAACATTTATATTCCATATTTACAGTATATCATTGTTGAACTAAGGTAGTTTGGGTACTTCAACCCAATTTTGTGTAAAATGTGGACAAATCTAAGTTTTAAAACCATTTTGTATGAGCAAATTTAACCCAACATTTGAGTTTATCCATATTTTACACAATTTTAGATTAAATAACAGCATTTATACAGTGTATGGCAAGTGTAGCAAATTAATTATAGTCTAAAACAGGCAGTTAAAATTAGATTTACAACAGATAAACATCACCCAGGAATGAATTAGTGCAAACTTTAATAAAACTCTACTGATAAAATCATAGCTAATCAAAAATAAAGTGTTGCCTACATATTTGTGGTGACATATTTAACGTTCAAACAGTGCTTTGTCATTATGTCACACATCAAAAACACTTTAACACCTTAAAACTGTAAACTAAAGTCTAATTACTGGCATTTTAAGTGAAATCAAAAAGCTGTAAAAGTTAAATCCCACACAAGTTAATTGTGACTAGTGAACACTTCATCATCAGCACAATTACTATAACAAGTTAATGCAAACACAATTTCTTTACAACTTAGTTTAACCTATTTCTAGTGACGTAATGACTTGCAATTGTCATTTATTCACTTTTGGGTCACTCGTAATTAAAATTATCCTCATAATGACTGACGAGTTAATGCACAAAGCAATAGTGAATGTTGCAGAAAACTGATCTGAGATCCCACTTACTTGTGCTGGTTGAGAAAGTGGAAGTTGTCGCTCAAGCAGAAGTCCTTCAGCTCCATGTCTGTGATTGTGAAATGAGCTGATGGAGGAGTGACAGAGCTGCTGTATTATACTCATGCTCCGGGTGTGGGCGGAGTCACACTCTAATCCACATGCATGATCATTAAAACCCTATTGATGAGCTTCATAACTGACAGCACCAATCCTTAACAGCGGCGGCACAGGGAGACATACTGACCCCAGATCAGTGTGCAGACTGCAGATAAGTATACCAACAGCAGATCCTAATACTGACTGACCAGAGAACATTATACAGACTGACCCAGAGGCGTGGCAATCAGGTGGGATACGCCCCCCTCACTTTTGGAGACAGACCTTTAGAAACAGGTACTTAATAATTATAAACTTTTGGGTCTCATACAGCCCTCCCCCACACTTTTAAAATGTCCGATACACCCCTAGACTGACCCCAGATTAGTGTGCAGGCAGCAGATCAGTGTAAGACTGACCATAGCTTACTATTCACACTGATTGCAGATCATTATACAAATAGCAGATCCCAATACAGACTGACCGCAGATCAGTGTATGGACTGACCATGGAAAGGAAAAGTGTATAGACTGACCCCAGATCAGTGTATAGACTGACCATGGAAAGGCAATGTGTATAGACTGACCCCAGATCAGTGTATGGACTGGCCATGGAAAGGAAATGTGTATAGACTGACCCCAGATCAGTGTATGGACTGACCATGGAAAAGTGTATTGACTGACCCCAGATCAGTGTATAGACTGACCATGGAAAGGCAAAGTGTATAGACTGACCCCTGATCAGTGTATAGACTGACCATGGAAAGGAAAAGTGTATAGACTGACCTCAGATCAGTGTATGGACTGGCCATGAAAAAGTGTATAGACTGACCCCAGATCAGTGTATAGACTGACCCCAGATCAGTGTATGGACTGACCATGGCCCCAGATCAGTGTATAGACTGACCCCAGATCAGTGTATGGACTAACCATGGAAAGGTAAAGTGTATAGACTGACCCCAGATCAGTGTATGGACTGACCACGGAAAAGGGTATAGACTGACCCCAGATCCGTTTGTAGACTGACCATGGAAAAGTGTAAAGACAGACCCCAGATCAGTGTATAGACTGACCATGGAAAAAAGTATGACCACAAATCAGTATACAGACTGCAGATGACAATACAGACTGACCACAGATCAGTAAACAGGCTGACCAGAGAAAAGTGTAGAGACTGACCGTAGATCTGTATACAGATAGCAGATCACAATACAGACTGACCGCAGATCAGTATACAGTCTGACCACAGAAAAGTGTGTAGACTGACCACAGATCAGTGAACAGGCTGACCAGAGAACAGTATAGACTGGCCATAGAAAAGTGTATAGACTAGTCCCAGATCAGTGTTTAGACTGACCACAGAAAAGTGTACAGACTGATCACAGTTCAGTACACAAACTGATTGCAGTTCAGTGTAAAGATAGACTGTAGATCAGTGTACAGACTGACCACAGATCAGTGTACAGACTGACCAGAAAACAGTGTATAGACTGACAACAGATCAGTATACAGATAGCTGATCACAATACAGACTGATTACAGATTGGTATACAGACTGACCAGAGAACAGTATACAGACTGACCATAGAAAAGTGTACAAATTGACTGTATCAAAGTACACACTGACCACAGATCAGTGAACATATTGACTGTAGATCACTATATAGACTGACCACAGATCAGTATACAGACTGACCAGAGTACAGTAGACAGAGTATAGACTATATCAAGTGTATAGACTGACCAGAGGAGTGTCCAAATTGACCACCAATCAGTTTACAGACTCGCTGTATATCACTGCACACACTGACCACAGATCAGTGTACAGACTGACTGCAGAAAATCAAGATCTCCATTCAGACTGACTGGGGATCAGTGGTTTCTTATTAACCCGCTAAACACCGGCTTTACCGTAGGTTTGCTGAAGATCGTGGATGATCGTTCTCCAGTTTGTGTGTGTCCGTCAGTCTCTACAGCAGTGTGTGTTGTGTTGTGTGTAAACAGATATAAAGACACTGCTTATCTGCGCTTGAGTGCAAACACCAACAAACCTCTCCCTGTACATCAAATCTGCCTCATTTCCGTGCGGCGGCTCGCTGTTGATGCTCAAAACAGACTCACGTTTGAGCTTCTCCACTGGAATTACTGGATCTCTGAACGCCACTACAGTCCCTCAGCAAAGATCAGCTCATTTAAGAGTGCAACACGTTTCAGTAATAGTTGGAACAGTAAAGCATTTACCATTTTGTAATGTTGCTGTTCCTTTTTACATCACTTAAAACATGTTTAGGGACTGAAGACACCAAGTGATGAAGAGTTTCAGGTGTCATTTTGCCCCATTCTTCCTGCAAAAAAGTCTTAAGGTGGGCAACAGTACGGGGTCTTCATTGTTGCATTTTTGCTCCAAAATGCTCCACAGATTCTCTATTGTAGACAGGTCGGGACTGCAGGCAGGCCAGTTAAGTTCTTGTTTCCTGCCTGCAAACAAGTCTTAAGGTGGGCAACAGTACAGTGTCTTCATTGCCGCAATTTGCACTTCAAAATGCTCCACACATTCTCTATTGTAGACAGGTCAGGACTGCAGGCAGGCCAGTCAAGTAACTGTATCCTTCCTGCCAACAAGTCTTAAGGTGGGCAACAGTACGGGGTCTTCATTGTTGCATTTTTTGCTCCAAAATGCTCCACACATTCTCTATTGTAGACAGGTCGGGACTGCAGGCAGGCCAGTCAAGTAACTGTATCCTTCCTGCAAACAAGTCTTAAGGTGGGCAACAGTAGGGCGTCTTCATTGTTGCGTTTTGCGCTTCAAAATGCTCCACAGATTCTCTATTAAAGATAACTCGGGACTACAGACAGGCCAGTTAAGTTCCTGTATCCTTCCTGCCAACAATTCTTAAGGTGGGCAACAGTACGGCGTCTTCATTGTTGTTTTGCACTTCAAAATGCTCCACACATTCTCTATTGTAGACAGGTCAGGACTGCAGGCAGGCCAGTCAAGTACCTGTTCCTTTTGCTCCACAACCAGAACTTTGTAATGGGTGCAGAATGTGGTTATCATCGTCTTGTTGAAATTATAGACTGTAAAATATGGATGTAGTATCTGTGATGTCACCCATAGGCTTCTGAAGAGCGCAAATGAAGCTATAACTAGGCGTGGCCAATCATAGGCATTTTGTTTGCGCGTCATCGCACCGACCAGAAGTTTCCACAAAAAAAAAGGCGTAGCATTTGTAAAGAATGTGTAAAAACACTGTTGTAATACATTGAGCCACTAATCATTGTTCCTATTAGGGTTGGGCGATGTTGGCCAGTTTGACATCGTACGATGTCTAATGTGAAACATCGCGATCCATGATGCCATCGTCGTAGGCGGGGAGTAAGAGTGGTTGTTGTTAAATATCAATTAATTCATAACGAATTAACTAATTGTAGCCTACCATTTTCACTACCTGACCAACATGGTCTTTGCTTTACCCATAACCAAACCATAAATAAATAAATAAAGTTACAAACAAATGACCACCTGTCAATCACTTTTTTCCGCGGGACTCTGGCATGAATAGGCAGTGATCTGTGTCCTTATAATGGCTTTTCCCACAGCTGGTGGAGGAGACGAGAGTTCGGTTGGAGTTCTCTGTAGTGCATACATTTTCACTGTTTTCATTGCAAAATCCTCACCGCGTGCGCGGATTTAGGAGACATTTATGCAGAATGCATCTTTGCACCTAAAAACACCAAAAGCAGCACTCAGGAACAGATGAACAGTTGTTATGTGAACTTGCTGAAGTAAAAAAGCCTGCAATGCTTGCCCCGCCTTTGTGCTCTTCTTATTGGCTCACTGCTCTAGAACTGAATGCGAATGATTGGTTAATATCAGCCGTCAATCACTCAGTCAATGCCTTCTGCCTTCAGATGACAGCAGCTACAACCGGGAAAATGTGAAGCGCTGAAGATGAGAATGAAAATAACACTGACAGATTTCTCTACAGTTACTAATAATGGCACATCTCATTAGTGAAACATTGTTATTGTGTTGTGGGCTAGAATGCGTGTGTGTGTGTGTGTGTGTGTGTGTGTGTGTGTGTGTGTGTGTGTGTGTGTGTGTGTGTGTGTGTGTGTGTGCGCGCATGTTCAGTCAGTAGGTCAGGATTACAGATCTGGTGCTTCCAGTCCTGATGCTGGAAAACTGCTGAGGTCCAGTGTTCAGAAGCACACTTTATACTCCACTGACCTACTAGGAGAATAATGTCAGTGTCTCTAACACACACACACACACACACTGTGATGCAACACTCAGACTAACATCATAGCAGCCTCTGCTTCATCATGTGCATGTTAGGAGTGCCGTTATTGTTGCAGAAAGCCGCTTATATCTGTTAGTAATATCATCAGCACAATGTCTGTAATAATAATAATATTAACAAAAACAATAATAATAATAATATTAACAACAATAACAACAATAATAATAATGCTACTAATAATAATAATAATATTAACAACAACAATAATAATAAAAATATTAACAACAATAATAATAATAATATTAACAAAAACAACAACAATAATAATAATAATAATAATAATAATAATAATAATATTAACAACAATAACAACAATAATAATAATGCTAATAATAATAATGCTAATAATAATAATAATATTAACAACAATAATAAAACTAAAAACATTAACAACAATAATAATGATAATGATAATAATAATATTAACAAAAACAATGATAATAATAATATTAACAACAATAATAATAATCATAATAATAATAATAATATTAACAAAATCAATAATAATAACAACAATAACAACAATAATAATAATAATGATAATAATAATATTAACAACAATAATAATAATAATAATAGTAATATAAATATTATTAATAATAACAATGTTATTATTATTAATAATAAGTATATTATTAATAATAAAAATAATAATAGTAATATTATTAATAATATGAATAAGAATAACTGCAGAATCAAATGCAGAATCTCAAATCTTTACTCTCTGTGGTGACTGCATAACTTGTTTCTTTGTTTTTAAACACGTTTATTCCAAATTAGTCATTTTATTTATAGGATCTACCAGAAGATAAAGTAAAATCCAAGCTGTTCAAAGCAATGTTTAGAGCACCTATTGTTTTCTTGTTTATAAATCACTATAAATTATGTAAAAATTAACAGCAAATCATTCATTCATTTTCCTTCTGCTTAGTCTCTTTATTCTTTAGGGGTCGCCACAGCGCAATGAACCGACAACTATCCATTATATGTTTTTACACAGCAGATGGTCTTCCAGCTGCAACCCAGTACTAGGAAACACCCATACACTCTTATTCACACAAACAGGTATAAACTATTGCCATAGTTTATTCAATCCCCCTACAGCGCATGTGTTTGGACTGTGGGGTAAACCGGAGCACCCGAAGGGAACCCACGCCAACACGGGGAGAACATGCAAACTCCACTGAAATGCCAACTGACCCAGCCGGGACTCAAACCAGCAACATTTTACACAGTGCTAACCACTGAGCCACCGTGCCACCCAAAACAACACAACACAATGTTTCCCAGTACTGGTTTGTGGCTGGAAGGGCATCTGCTATGTAAAACATATGCTGAAATAGTTGGCAGTTCATTCTGCTGTGGCGACCACTGATGAATAATAATAATCTGACCCAGCCAGGACTCAAACCAGCAACCTTCTTGCTGTGAGGCCAGAGTGCTAACCACTGAGCCACTGTGCCGCCCCTCTGTGGTCATATATTGTGTTGTACTGATATTTTTTTCAGAATAAACGTCCAACCAAGCAAGATCAGACCAGCTGCACGTCATTTATTATTACATAATTACTGCAGTTTTTGACATGAGCTCAAACTCTGTGTGTTCTACTTCACTGTATATGACTGAACTTTACATAACTCGGTGTAACTGTGGGTGTGTGTGTGTGTGTGTGTGTGTGTGTGTGTGTGTGTTGTACTGGAGAGGAGGATTAGAGCTCTTCCTGGATATATGGGCCAGTCGGGCGGCTCAGCTGGAGATGTTGACCCTGTTTTTGGGTTATCGTTACCCAACACTGACCCATTTCTGCTCTTCATCGGGCAGGTGAGAGGATTAGAGGAGTAACACCTGTCCTCTTCCCCACAGCCCTTAATCCACAACACACCTCCTCAGCAACAAACACTGACACACCTATTATTACTATTATCATCATTATTATTATTAATATATTATTGTTATTATTTTCATTGGTTATTATTGTTATTACTGTTACTATTATTATTATTAATGATGTTGTTATTGATATTATTATCATTATTATTATTGATATTATTATTATTATTATTAATATATTATTATTATTATTATTGATATTATCATTATTATTGATATTATCATCATTATTATGATTATTATCATCATTATTATTGATGTTATTATCATTATTATTATTGATATTATTATTATTATTATTGATAGTATCATTATTATTATTATTATTGATATTATTATTATTATTATTATTATTATTATTATTTTTATTATTATTGATATTATCATTATTATTGATACTATCATTATTATTTATATTATTATTATTATAATCATTATTATTATTGATATTATCATTATTATTATTATTATTGATATTATCATTATTATTTATATTATTATTATTATTATTAATATTATCATTTATATTATTATTATTATTATCATTATTATTATTGATATTATTATTATTATTATTATTGATATTATCATTATTATTTATATTATTATTATTATCATTATTATTGATATTATCATTATTATTTATATTAATATTATTATCATTATTATTATTGATATTATTATTATTAATATTATCATTATTATTGTTATTATTATTATTATTATTATTATTATTAATATTATTGATATTATCATTATTGTTGATATTATCATTATTATTATTATCATTATTATTATTATTAGTGGTGGTAGTAGTAGTATTAATATTATAAACTGTTTTGTTTAAATGCACCAAAAATGATTGTCTATGTTCACTGAGAATTGGATAATTTTCAAAAGGGGGTGTCATTTATGCTGAGCACTGTACATATTTTATACAAGAATTACACATGGATGCAATGACAGTGTCTAATGTTTTCTTGTCATCTCTCGTCAGTAATAGAAAAAAAAGTATTTATCATAGTTCTTGGTAAATAAAATTACACTTGTTTGCACATGCAGTGTGTATCCGGTGGGTCAGGGCCTGTGTCTGTGTGTGTGTTTTCAACTGCAGTGTCACTGTGAGAGAGTTAATCTGACAGACTGCTGACTCTCTATCACTACCAGGAACACACACTTCAGACACTCTCTCCAACAACAGCCGTAATCACACACTAAATCTACACCTGGGTCAGTAAAAAAAATAAAATAAATAAATATATGTATATATAATATAAAAAAAATAATATAATATATAAAACATATATTATTTTATTTCATATTATATTTCATAATATTATTTCATATTATATTATATTTTATTATTTTATATTATATTTCATATTATATATTATTTTATTTCATATTTTATATTCTAATATATTGTTTTATTTCATATTATGTTATAATATTTTATATAATATTTTATTATTTTACATTATGTTATTTTATATTACATTATTTTATTTTATTTCATAATATATTATTTTATATTATTATATATTTATTATATTATATTATGTTATGTTATGTTATATTATATCATGTTATATTATATTATAATTATATTATATTATATTGTTATGTTATATTATATTATATAAACTGTTATAAAATAAAAAATAAAAAAATAACACAATCAGCCTTAACTAGGAGCCCTGAACACTGAAGAAGCTCAGTGAAGATTCAAACACTGCCAGAATGAAGCGGCAGCCCAGAGTCCTAATCTAAACCTGACTGAGCAGATATACAGATGAAAAATTATTTGGCTGTGTAATTTTTATTTTTATTTTCTTTATCAAACATTTCTTAAATGATGTTTTTAACAGATTAAGGACATTTTCACAGTATTTCCTACATTTTTTCTTCAGGAGATAGTCTTGTTTGTTTTATTTCAGCTAGAATAAAAGCAGTTGTACGCAATATCTGTAATTTTTCCTTTTGCTATTGGAAAATGAACTGAATCCAAGAACTTTGACCTAAAACTCCACCATAAACATTTGGCTGCCAGTTCAACTATGTCATTTGAGTGTTTGTGTGTGTGTGTGTAAGTGTGTGTGAGTCATTTGTACTCGAGCCAGTTCAGTACAGTTCAGGCGGTGTTTAAACCCAACACAGTCAAGTACCATCAACAAAGGCTGATCAGAGGAAGTACGGGGAAAACTGCAGTCCTCCACTACACTGTTGGCTGGTAACATGAGCATGATGGAGTGAAAGCTGATATTCCGCTGCTCGGTGCAATCCAGCGAAGTACATTACGAGCCAAGTGAACCCTTTAATCGGATTGGCTGTGTGATGTGGGAGGATTGGCCTATAAAAGGTCTTAGGAGCTGGATTCATATAAACACTAGGCACATTAAGAGCACACAGAGATAAGCTGGTTACAAACCTTCTCAAAGAAAAGCACGTGAGGAGAGATAGAGAGATACGCCTGAGAATGACAACAATGGATTTCACTGATGTCAAACACTTCTAGGGGGGAAATCTAATAATCTTCATCCACACTGTAAAAAATATCCAGAAATTAGCAGTTTACTCAATTTTGTGATTCATGTTTTTAATATGTCCTAATTTATTTAACCTAAGATTATTGATATGTACCCCTGTATACATTTTTAGAGAGCGCCAAATACATACCAGGATGTACGTTTTTTTTTTTTGTTTTTTTTGCAGTTTTTGTGAATCCGTCAAAGGCCGCTGTGTACCCTTTTTCAGATCTCAAATTTCCTTCGAGAGAGCCATTCGTGCCTGCTGTTCTCATGTAAATCCACCAGATGCCCCTGAGAAAACCCCCACCCACCCACCTTCCTTAAACCCAACAAATAGTGTTTCCAAGAGCACCAATTGACCCCCCACAGCCTTTCCTAAATCCAACCGTTAGTGTTTTCGAAAGCAACAATTAACCTGCTCACCCCCTTCCCTAGACCCAACCAATAGTGTTTTCGAAAGCACTGATTGACCCCATCACTCCCTTCCCTAAACCCAACCAATAGTGTTTTCAAAAGCACTGATTGATCCGCCCACTCCATCCCTAAACCCAATCGACAGTGTTTTCAAAAGCACTGATTTATCCGCCCACCCCCTTCCCTAAACCCAACCAATAGTGTTTTCCAAAGCACCGTTTGACCCGCCCACTGCCTTCCCTAAACTCAACCAATAGTGTTTTCGAAAGCACAGATTGACCCGCCCACCGCCTTCCCTAAAACCAACCACCGCCTTCCCTAAACCCAACCAATAGTGTTTTCGAATGCACCAATTGACCCGACCACCCGTCCCTAAACTCAACCTATAGTGTTTTCAAAAGCACAGATTGACCCGCCCACCCCTTCCCTAAACTCAACCTATAGTGTTTTCAAAAGCACCAATTGACCCGCCCACCCCTTCTCTAAATCCAACCAATAGTGTTTTCGAAAGCACCGATTGACCCGCCCACTGCCTTCCCTTAACCCAACCAATAGTGTTTTCGAAAGCACCGGTTGACCCGCCCACAGACAGTGGCCTATTGCTGACTGAATTTCATTGGCTGACGCTGCTATGACGATCGCGTCAGAGCCAACCTCAGACACGCCTTCAGTCAAGCGTTGGCGCCTGAAGTCCCGTGTGAATGGGGGCGTAAGTATGAAGTCTTGAAAATCAAATGATCCTCCTGAGTGGTTTTTAAAAATGATCAGCAACAAACTTTAAAAATAACAATAATGATCATCGGAATGTGTGCAAATATATTTCCAAACGCCTTCCACATAGAAGATATCGAACACGTACACATACAAATATGTAACAAACTCAGAAATGTACAATAGCAGAGTGTGAACACACACACACTTGCTTTTCCACCACAGATACAGTGCATTTTGTTACGTGACACACACACACACGCAAATAAAGAGATTTTACAGTATCAAATAGTAACATGGTGAAATTCTCGGACATTTATATATGACAAAAATATATACTTTTATAGATAGTGTAGAAGAAATGCCTTCATTGATGTGGATATATATAAATATAAAATCTGAGTAAACAAAATACGTTTGTTGCTAGCTCGAGTAGTTTTTAAAACACACATTTAGTCCAGCCAATGAAAACAGAGAATGTTTAGTAGAATCCTAATGCTGTGTTCACACCAGACGCAGAACGTGCGGATAAATCGCACGTAAATAGCCACGTGAACATTTAATTCGTCAAATCCTGCTTCATTCGCGCATCAAATTCACTTCTCGTCAGAACAGACGTGGATTCGCGTGATGGGCAGGGCTTCTGTCTGCCCGGTGACTCTAGCTTTGTTGCTAAATGGCTAACATGGATTTTACGAAGAATATAACAGTGTTTATGTGCTTTATAAAGTCTGAAAACCAGCGTCGATACGTTTAGGGCCGTGTCTGAGTCCACTAGATTCTTCCAGAGGTGCATCCATCTCTATGAGCTCATAAACTCCTCCAGAAACTGGACCTGGATGACGGAGGCTTTCAGCTGTGCTTCTGACTGAGCCGAGCCCAGTTTGATGAACTTTTTGTCGGTGTCTGCTGGAGGATTTCCCCCGGGACACCTACAACAGGCGTCATAATCACGCCCCCACAAGAGCAAGCTCCTGATTAGTTAACGTGGCGCGAATGTCCGATGAAGTTCAAATATTCGAATACGAGCGATTCTCGCGTTAAACACACAAAATGATCAATTCGCGCCGCGCCATTCATGCATTTTGCGTCATTCGTGCCACAGGATGTCTATTCGTGCGTTTGCATTGACTTAACAAGTAAATCACTCACGCTTGACGCGCGTTCCGCATCTGCTGTGAACGCAGCATTACAAACACAATGGGGCTTCAGCACTCCTGTACGTGCTCCAACCCCTGATTATGGAGCCTTGTGTGTGTGTGTGTGTGTGTGTGTGTGTGTGTGTGTGTGTGTGTGTGTGTGTGTGTGTGTGTGTGTGTGTGTAAAGCTTCAGTATTGAACTTTTGGATATACACACAAGTACTGTCATACAATAAACCATTTACATCAACATGGTGTGGAAAGAACCGGAGCGAGTCTCTGAAGTGGTGCAGTCCTCAGGCAGGGATGCAGTGGTTTGGTCTGCGGGACAGGATGAAACCCCTGAGACACACACACCTGTACGATCCCTCCGTGTTCACACAGCGGCCGTTAATGCAGTCCAGCGAGTCTTCATCTTCACACTCATCCACATCTGCAGTCACACACACACGCACACACACACACACACACACACACACACACACACACACACGTACACCACTGTAAGTGCTTTCACCAAGGAGAGCTGAAGCTGAACTATACAACAGCACGTGTGATTGGTTGAAGTGCTCCTATTAGCATATTCAAATGTAGTTATTTTAGCTTTACAAACAGGTTTACATCTATTGCAGATTAAAAAGCAGTTCAATTCATGACATCATCTGCAGCATCAGCTCTGTGAATGAGACTGAATTGATTGGTCATACTGCTCCTTTTTGAATGCCCTGCTGTGCTCTGATTGGTCAGATAAAAGGTCTGTTCTGATTGGACAGATAGCCCCTGCTTTGCTGTGGTTGGTCAGATGGCCCTCCTGTGCTGCAACTGGTCAAATGGCCAGTTTGTTTTGAATGGTCAGATGGCCCCTGCTGTGATTGGTTTGATGACCTAGTCTGTTCTGATTGGTTAGATGCCCAGTCCATCCTGATTGGTCAGATGGCCCCTGCTGTGCTGTGATTGGTCAGATGGCATTGATCTGCTCAGATTAGTCAGATGGCCTAGGCTGTGCTCTGATTGGTCAGATGGCCTAGTCTGTTTTAATTGGTCAGATGGCCCTGCTGTGCTCTGATTAGTCAGATGGCCTAGTCTGTTCTGATTGGTTAAATGGCCTAGTCTGTTCTAATTGGTCAGATGGGCTTGCTGTGCTCTGATTAGTCTGATGGCCTAAGCTGTTGTGATTTCTCAATCAGTCCCTGCTGAGTAGTGATTGGTCAGATGGCCTCGTCTGTTCTGATTGGTCAGATGGCCCCTGCTGTGCTGTGATTGGTTGGATGGCATTGATCTGCTCTGATTAGTCAAATGGAATAGTCTGTTCTGATTTGTCAGACAGTCCCTGCTGTGTTGTGATTTGTCAGATGGCCTGATCTGTTCTGATTGGTCAGATGGCCCTGTTGTGCTATGATGGGTCAGATGGCCTAGGCTGTTCTAATTTGTCAGACAACCCCTGCTGTGCAGTGATTGGTCAGATGGCCTAGTCTGTTTTGATTGGTCAGACTGCCCCTGCTGTGCTGTGATTTGTCAGATGCCATTGATCTTCTCTAATTAGTCAGATGGGCTAATCTGTTCTGATTGGTCAGATGGCCCTGCTCTGCTCTGATTTGTCAGATGACACAATACATTCTGCTGTGCAGTGATTGTTTAGATGGCCCTGCTCTGCTCTAATTGGACCATATTGTGATTGGTCACATGATCCTACTCTTCCCTTATTGGCCTGCTGGCTGAGTCAGTTGTAATTGTTTAGAAGCCAATGCCATACCTGAATTTCACCTCTACTGCAGCAGCTGTAAATGCAGTGATATGAACAAAGATACCAGTGTCAGTTTTACCATGTCAATTCAAAAACAACTACTCATCTATTGGAAATACACATTTCACTGCTCACTGAACAAAACATTTCTTTTGAAGACTATAGATCGGCCTTTTTTACACACAAACCCACATGAGATAAGTCAGGGAGTAAACCGCATTTACTGACAACTCCTGCCAGGCAGTTCAGAATCACCTCTTTCTCCTAAAGGGCCATAACTCCATTAATCAAACCTTTGCTGTACGCTTCAAACACAAACAGCTTTTATTACTCACTATAGGAAAGGTAATATCTGGAAAGGCATAATGGGAAAAGCATGGAAATAAGAATTGAGGGATACCGATGCATGTCATGGTGGTGATGTCCAGCTGATATCCATCATAACAGTCACATGTGTAACCTTCCTCAACTCGGATACAGCGACCATTCTCACAGCCACGGACAATCCCACACTCTTCTGAACTCAGGCTGCCATAGGAATCATATCGACCTAAAACAAACACACACACACACACGCATGCACACAAACACAAGAACTTCATAAACTACATACAAGAGCAAAGTTATTCACAAATTGACCCTGATGAGATAAACACAATTGGCTATTTAGACTCTTTGACTGGTTTTGAAGAATAAATGAAATAAAAACTGCATAAGTGCATTTAAAGCATGACAATTTTAGAATTTTACACTTCAAAAAGGTTCAATAATAGTTTTATTTTGTTGTTAAGTGTAATTAAATTCAGTCAGCAGCACGCTTTACTATATTTCAAGAGCAAAAAACTGTTTTGGTGCTTGCAAATATAAACATTGTTTGGCAGCACAGACAGACAGACAGATGTATATACGGACGGACGGATGGATGAATGGAGAGACAGATGGATGAATGGATGGACGGACGGACGGATGGACAGATAGATAAATGGATGGACATAGACAGATAAAAAGATAGATAGATAGATAGATAGATAGATAGATAGATAGATAGATAGATAGATAGATAGATAGATAGATAGATAGATAGATAGATAGATAGATAGATAGATAGATAGATAGATAGATGAAAGGATAGCTAGACGGACGGACAGATAGATTGATGGATGGATGGATAGATAGACAGATAGATAGATAGATAGATAGACAGACAGACAGACAGACAGACAGACAGATAGATAGATAGATAGATAGATAGATAGACAAGATAGATAGATAGATAGATAGATAGATAGACAGACAGACAGACAGACAGACAGACAGACAGACAGACAGACAGACAGACAGACAGACAGATAGATAGATAGATAGATAGATGAAAGGATAGCTAGACGGACGGACAGATGGATGGATGGATAGACAGATGGATAGATAGACAGACAGATAGATAGATAGATAGATAGATAGATAGATAGATAGATAGATAGATAGATAGATAGATAGATAGATAGATAGATAGATAGATAGATAGATAGATAGATAGATGAAAGGATAGCTAGACGGACGGACAGATGGATGGATGGATAGACAGATGGATAGATGGATAGATAGATAGATAGATAGATAGATAGATAGATAGATAGATAGATAGATAGATAGATAGATAGATAGATAGATAGATAGATAGATGAAAGGATAGCTAGACGGACGGACAGATGGATGGATGGATAGACAGATGGATAGATAGACAGACAGATAGATAGATAGATAGATAGATAGATAGATAGATAGATAGATAGATAGATAGATAGATAGATAGATAGATAGATAGATAGATAGATGAAAGGATAGCTAGACGGACGGACAGATGGATGGATGGATAGACAGATGGATAGATGGATAGATAGATAGATAGATAGATAGATAGATAGATAGATAGATGAAAGGATAGCTAGACGGACGGACAGATGGATGGATGGATAGACAGATGGATAGATAGACAGACAGATAGATAGATAGATAGATAGATAGATAGATAGATAGATAGATAGATAGATAGATAGATAGATAGATAGATAGATAGATAGATAGATAGATAGATAGATAGATAGATAGATAGATAGATGAAAGGATAGCTAGACGGACAGATAGATTGATGGATGGATGGATAGATAGACAGATAGATAGATAGATAGACAGACAGACAGAGACAGACAGACAGACAGACAGACAAATAGATAGATAGATAGATAGACAAGATAGATAGATAGACAAGATAGATAGATAGATAGATAGACAGATAGA